ATTAACCCCTTACATACTTATAGATGGCCACCAAGTCTCCCCCCCTCCCAGTCTTCTCTTCCTGAGGCTGAACAGTTCCAGATACCTGGCTTTCCTCATAAAATTTGTCCTCTAGGCATTTACTTATTATTGCTGTCCTTCCCTGGACCCTTTCAAGATTTTCCATGTCTTTTTTGAAGTGTGGTGCCCAGAACTGGACACAGTACTCCAGGTAGGGTCTCCCCAGTGCCAAGTAGAGAGGAAGCATCATTTCCTTAGTCCTGCTCACGACGCATCAGCTAATGCATCCCAATATGCCATTAGCTCTGTTGACTACAGCATCGCACTGGTGAATCATGTTCATCCTGTGATCAGCCACAACCTTGAGGTCCTTTTCAGCCATTCTGCTGGCCAGGACATCTCATCCTAACCTATATTCATGTCACTCATTACTTCTCCCCAGATGAAGCACTCTGCATTTCTCCTTATTGAACTACATCCAGTTCTGCTCCACCCACCTTTCCAGCTTGTCCAGGTCCACTTGGATCCACAGGCTATGGACCTAGCATGACAACTTTTTCCCATAATTTAGTATCGTCCACAGACTTAGCCAGTGTGCTTTCCACATCTTCATCTAAATCGTTGAAAAAGATGTTTAATAGCACAGGGCCAAAAACTGAACCCTGTGGGACACCACGGGCCACCTCCCACCAAGACAATGCAGACCCATCCACTAACACTCTCTCAGTTTAACTCTTTAGCTAGTTCCCAGCCCACCTGACCATGCCCACAATCCCCCAGTTTGTTTATAGGAGTGTGATGGGAGACCATATCAAAGGCCTTTTTAAAATCTAAATATATGACACCAACCATGTCTCCCACATCTAAGCAGTTTGTTTCTTGATCATAGAAGGAGACGAGGTTGGTCAGACACAACCTTCCCACAACAAAACCATCCTATTCTTCAGCATCATGCCGTCTACCAGTCTCTCACAAATGAACCACTTAATAATTTTTTCCAAAATTTTATGCAGTATTGAGGTCAAACTGACCGGCCTATAGGTTCCTCTTGTCTTCCTTATCCTCTCCCTACAAATCCAGGCTATTCTTGTGTATTCCTTCTTGGTGACTATTTATTGGATCCCTTGTTTTCACTGTCCTTAAACCTACTTTTTCCTTTTTAAGCACTCCTTGACTTCTCTGCTAAGCCAAGAATGTTTCCCAGCCCCTTTACCACCTGTCCTGCATACAGGACTGGACCTTTTCTGAGCTCTGAAAATCATGCCTTTGAGGAATGACCACTCTTCCTGAACTCCCTTCCCCTCCAGTCCCTCTTGCCATAGGGTCTCTCCCACTATTTTCCTAAGCTCACTGAAGTTAGCTTTCCTGAAGTCAAGCTCTTCTGCCCTACCAGCTGACTTCCCTACCCCACGATGGATACTGAATTCTATTATCTCATGATCACCATCTCCCAGACTACCCTCAGATCTCCCACTAGGTCATCCCCTTTGGCTAGAACCAAATCCAAAAAAGCCTTCCCCCTGGTTGGCCTGTTCACCTTCTGTACTAAATAAAGTACTTCCATGCAGGCCAAAACCCTATGTGAGCAGTAAGATCTGGCCCAATGCTCCTCCCAGCAGATGTCAGGGTAATTGAGGTTACCCGTGACAGCCACGTCCCTTGAATGTGGGGGCTCTATCATTTCTCTGGATAATTCCAGATCCAGCTCCTCCTCCTGGTGTGGCAGTCTGTAGTAGCTACCTACCATCAAGTCCCCTTCTCCTCATCCCCCCAGTATCTTGACCTACAGGGTCTGGAGTCACTCTTCTCTTGAACCAATTTGGATCTCCAAGGAGGCATACTGCTCCTTTACATAGAGAGCTACCCCCTTCTTCCCTACCTGATCCCTTCTGTGCAGCCTGTAGCTCTCTAAGCATACAGCCCAGTCATATGTGGTGTCCCACCAGGTCTCTGTTATTCCAACAAAATCATATTCCCTATTTGCTAGCAGGAGCGCCAGTTCCTCCTGCCTATTCCCCATACTCCTAGCATTTGTGTATAGACACTTAAGTCCCCCATTAGTAACCCCCAGCTCCCAATGTTCAGTTATACAATGGCACCAATGGAGTACGTGTTATCACCTGCCGGCATTTTGCTCTGCAAAAATAAGAACATCTGCACTCCAAGAAACTGGTGTCAGAATCGTTGGGAATCTGCAGATATATAACAGGACAAACAAGGAAGGAAAAAAATATGTTTTGGATTTTAGATGAACGCAAGCTACAGAGAAAGAGGTGACACTTCCAAATCCCTGAAGGAAGAAATAAGAGGTACCACATCAGCTGTTTTTCTGAAGAAGATAGCAACCGCTGCAAGCTGTGACCGCTGGGACAGGGCAAAATGGATTTATCTTCACCTGCCAGCAAAAGTGCTGATATCTCAAGAGATACCTGCAAGTCCATATAGCAACACAGGGTGCCACAGGAACTAATGGAACATTATTAGTTAGAGTTATGAGTACTGGAACTTTTGTATTTTTTTTTAATGTTTTGGCTGAGAAAAGATGTGGGGACTGGACCTTTAAAGGCAGAATAAGCCAGTTAAAATTGGTTATTATACTATGCCTGGGATCTTATAACAATGCTGAACAGTTAGAAAGTGAATGAAGCAGATGCCTTGTCAGTCCTCTTGGCTCTGATGAGTGATTGCTGAATAACACTCCCTCATGCAACTAGTGCCCTTGCTGCAAGCAAGTGTTCACCAGTGTACAAAGTTGGGAGCATTATATTCTCATGGCTTTCAGACCAATATATACCCCAAGAGTTATTCCAAAACACTCAGCAATTACTTTCCCCAAGGCTCCTTGCATCTCAAAGGATTATAAATCCCCTCCGGGCCACTTCTGTGTATGGTTAATGTACCTGGAGACTTGTTGATGAACCCTGAGCCACCTCCCACAGAGTACTTTCATTCACGGCTGCCTCCTTCACCTCCTCCTATTACCTCCACCACTCATGCCACCATTTCCTGAAGACAAGCCTGGAGCAAATGAAGCAACCTATATATAAGGGCACAAATATACATCACTATAGGTGCATCTACACATGTTGCTATGGTGACGTTGTTACTGTACCATGGTTAGTACTTTCTTTAGGAACTACTAAATCACGGCACAGTAACAGCCTATACTGCAATGCGCACGGTTATTTTTAGCAGCTAATTTGCCCTAGCGACACACTATAACGGGAGCAGGTTGCTCCAGCGAAGTAGCTGCTGGTCACATGTAAAACCCTGCAGACGCTGTCACCATAGCCTGTTGCTACGGCAACGTGGCGTCACATGTAGACACACCCAAAATGTTTTAAAAATGTGTCCACCAATGCAAAGAAATGAAAAGGCCTTCAGTGGTGTCACTTGTGTTATTACAACTTGTGGCTAATAAAATATAACAACATATGAAAGTTGTTTTTACTACCTACCCAGCTTATTAGCTAATAAAATGAGCTTGGCATATTAATACAACTAACATGTTTCATCAAATGGAGACCCCCATGAACTGTACTTCCCCCTTGCCCCAAATTAGCCAATTATGTAGTTTTCTGCCCCTTTTTATCATTTAAGTTTCTCAGGTACAGTTAAAACTAGTTGCATCCTCAAACACAAATGAATTCATTCAAGCACCTTTTGAACCATAAAGTATAAAATGTTATAAAACACCACATTTTTTGTAAAAGAAAAGAAATGTATTTAGAACACCAGAGGTCACTGCACTGGCTTATGGAAAGGAGATGAAATTTGCAACTCTCTCTCTCAATCCCACCTGCTTAAAAGACACCACAAAATCTATTATTAACAACAAATTAAGGCTGATTATAGCCCTTTCCATCCAGGACTTTCACAAAGGACTTACGAGCTCAGTAAATGGTTGTACAAGCTAGGTAAAGAGAATTTTTTCACACACAACAGAAATGCATTCACCCCTGGGCCAAAATGCAGCAGCTGTTTAACAACATTATACAACAGAAAATAAAGGAGAATTCCATATGCAATTGAAACTTCAGGGAAAATTTTTGGCAGGCAGTATGTAATAACTCAATTTGGAATTTGGCCAGGATAGCTGGGTTAATACCCTAGTCTTGCAAAAAAAAAAAAAGAGAGAGAGAGCCATGGGATCTTTAGCCCCATATTTATCTCTGAACTACATAAAGCTGGTTATCTCAGGATTTTATTATTGTAAATTATTGACATTAGAAACACTGAATTATAGAACTGTGGTTGTTGAAAACTTTGCGCAAAATGGTATAGCTACTTGTGCTGTTCTTTGATGCCTCACTTCATTTTGGTGCTTGGTCACACATTTTTAAAGGCCAAGATCCCATAATTGAATCTCGATGGCTGTGGGCTCTGAAAGAAAATCCTTTTGGATATGCACTTCAAATCTCTTATCAGCACTGTGAATTGGCACCACAGATTGAAGAGGAAACTTTTGCCCTAAGTTTGCAACTGAAGATGAAACCCGATACAGAAACTATGACTTCTTGCCGTCACTGCTAACAGCCAGCAAAGTTCCCAGTAGTGAAAATTCAACTACTGATAACATTAGTGCTGAATACCCTTGATGTTGTCTTCACTTCCTCAAGCAAGTCCTCGATGTATTTTTACCTTATTTCATACATGAATTGTGCCTTAAGGACTATTTCTGGTTGAATTACATGCCATGAGGGAATAATGGAAAGGTGTGTTAAGGGAGTCAGCATATAGATCTTATTAGTGCAGGATGGAAAAGAACCAAGCTTTCTAAAGATTGACACCAAAGGTCCAGCTGAAGAAGGAAAGTTTTCTGCTCTGACAAAAGGAACAAGCCTCTCCATAACACCCATATCCACTATATGCATATTAAAGCAACACCATCAGATGATAAAGGGATTTTAGCCCAACTGGAAACATCTAAAGCAGAGGCTGTTCCATCGGGATGTTAGGTAAAGGTCCACTCATTTGCTAGAGAGACAACTATGCCTTACCTGGGTCATCTTGGCAAGGTCCAGTGAAGGCCTTTGTTCCTGAACCTCCTCAGGCCGTCGTCGTTTAACTCCAACCTTCTTGTCGTTAAGGACACATGGCTGAGATCGGCTGCGGGACAGCCCGTTGGAGCGTCTCATCAGCTCTGGTGTTGAGGCAGGTGTGCTTTTTGCTGAGGGTGGACAATATTCCGAAGAGGAAAACTGATCGTGTGAGCAGGAGAGGGACCGCTGCATTTCAACCCTGCTGCTCTCTACAGAACTGTGGTCATTACCCCAGATGTCACCTGCTTGTCCATAGATGGCAGATTTCCTCATCCCCTGGCATGGCTGACACCCATATCTGCTGCTAAATCCAGACTGGTCATATGATGAGGATAGTATGTTTGACCTTGAAGGTAGGCTAAAACTAGAACTCCTCTGCATTGTGCTGAAGCCATTGGAGTAGCGTTGGACACTTCCCCCACTATAACACCGTCTCTTTTCTACTGGAGTCCAGACCTTTGACCCTAAAGGCCTCCAGGATGTCCTGCAGCTGGACATTTCATCAGAAAAAGAAAGTGACCTGCATTGGCGTTTGCTGGGAGGTGCTGAGGGGTTACCATTGTGGTCACTAAGACTGAGGTCTTTAATCAAGTTGGTCACTGAACATGTGTTAACTGTATCTCTTTGCCATATAGAGCCTTCTTCGTTTTTATCAGGCAGGCAGTCCCAGATGTTGCTGCTAGGTTGCTCAATCTGCAGTGGACATTTCCTGCTGAGATCTCTCCATCTGTCATTTTCTAATTTAAAAAGAATACAAATATATATATAGACACATTAGCATTAATTATTTACATGATTCATTTTCTACATCCATTTACTAAGAATAACATGTAGGGCATATTCTAATATAAATTAAGTAACCCTTAGAATACTGTTTCCATGCTTTAAAGCCATATAATAAGTTAAGGTGGATGGCAAGAGATAAAGTGAAAATGTCAGCAGAAGCAAACCTAACTAAAACTATTTCTGAGAAGGAAGGCAAGGATTGGGGGGGGTTGTTTGTTTGTTTGCTTTTGGTGATATCATTTTTTGGACCAACTACCTGATTGGGAGAGACGCTAGACAAGATTAGGGCACAAAGTGTCCTCAGGTAGGCCTTTGAATATACCAATTGCACAAGAATTTAGCTTTATAAAACTTCAGTGACAACTTTATTTCCTAGACCAGGGGCGGGCAATTATTTTGGGCAGAAGGCCACTAACTGAGTTTTGGAAAGCCATCGAGGACCTCATGACAGGCAGCTGGGGGCAGATAAATATTAATTTTCTAAATTTTTTAGGGGCCCTGCAAGCCAGATAGAATGGCCTGGCGGTCCACATCCAGCCCACGGGCGGCATCTTACCCACCCCTGTCATAGATTAACTACTCCTGAGAATCATTTGTTTAGTTCTGATCTCTAAAACAACAACTACTAGATAGGTTGATCAAGAAATGGTTAATACAAATACAAAAATAAACAGGTTCACAAGTATCTAAGGGACACCTAAAATCAGAATTAAGAACCAAAAACCTGCTTCAGCTACCATAACCCAGTGAAATAAATGAAGCTATGCCATTTTATACCAGCTCAGGATCTGGCTGCAAATTTTTCTTTGGAATTGTCCTGAGGATAGGAAGCCTTGTAAATGCATTACATTGAAGTGTTGCATCCCACCCATTACATCAGGTAGGATGGGCTCCACCTTTCCCCTAAAGGTAAGCGTGTGTTCTCTTCTAGGTTGGTGGATCTCCTCTGGTGGGCTTTAAACTAGGCTCATCAGGGGAAGGGGAAGATGAGGGAGGAGGAAGCCTTGGACCGCTAAACCAAGCAGCACTCACAAGTACAGCCCAGCCCAGACTCACGAGTGGAACATATACACAGGTAAGCAACAGGGGCCAGGGCAATGCTGAGATTAGGGGGCCAGTGCACACATCCACAGGAGGCCTCAAATGCCTCTACACAAACGCTCGTAGTATGGGAAACAAGCAGGAGGAACTTACCCTCCTGCTAGCTGACACCAACCCAGACATAGTGGGGCTCACAGAAACGTGGTGGGACCCAACATATGACTGGACGGTGAATATCAAAGGCTACAGGCTGTACAGGAGGGACAGGACAGGGAGGAAAGACT